GTATCACCGCAAATTCACCCTTCAGTGCAGACTGTTACTTTAGGCAGCTTTGTAGCAACATCGTTTAATTGGCTGTCAACGACGCTTATATTTCGATGGAAACTTATCTGATATATCGCGCGTGTTTTGATATTAGCTGGATAACAGCGCACGTAAGCGCCGCAATTTGGATATTTGTTTCAACCATTCTAGTTTGAGGATCTAGTTAACCGAGGAAAGGTTACTCATTCTGGGTAACATCTAACATCGGATCCCATCGACTTCCACTCGGATTCAGCTACTATATTCGTAAACTATAGAAAGCGGCTCAAATGAAGCAGGGCCTTGTAATTGAAGTTTGGTTTGGGTCTCACCCGTTTCCGCTTGGTCGAAAAAATATGCCTAATCTGCTTGGCGGTTCAACCGCTAGACAAGGCGAAAACTTATACTTTATGTGCTAACGGCGCTATGTGCACAGATTCAATATCCTGTCATACAAATAATCAATGCTTAGCGAAGAACCATGAAGTTATTCACGCAAACCCACTGTACACCGCGGGTTCCACCTTGTTCGCAAATCAAAACAGAAACAGAGTCTATCGGATCTCTCGCAAGTTGTCATCTACGTGGATTGTAGCTCAAAAGCATACACCAAAAAAGAAACAAACCAAATTCCTGTCAGGATGATAAAAATTGATGGGCTTTAAACAGAAGGTAACCCCGGGCATCATAGTAACGACACATTTTGTGGGTGTGTAATAATTACTCCGGCTGTTTCTCATCAGTAAGTCGTTTGTCGTCCGGCTGATCAATGTGCTTCCTTGCAACATGTCTCCTGAGAATATCTGAACGAGAGCAGATTAAACCGCATTGCTCACACATGTGCTGGCCTTGCTTTCTGTGCACGGTTCTTGTATGACGATCTAAATCTGATTTCCGGCGGAAAGAGGCCCCACACTCCTCGCATTGTTGATGTTGTGCCTCACCATGTAACTGTTTCACATGCCGCAACAGAATCCACCAATCCGAAAAGCATTTTCCGCACTTGGGACATGCGTTTTCTCTTAGCTGTGATTCTTGCACTCGTTTACTGGATGCTCCGAAAGGCTTTTTGTCTCCCGAAAAATGAAGTCGCCTCATGTGATGCTGCAAGCAACGCTCATTCGGGAACGACTTTTCGCACCAGCTACACTGACTATTCAGATCATCAGCTCGCACTTCCTGGTGTCTCTTAGCTGCTGACAGGCGACGGAAGGATTTGCCGCACACCAAACACTTGTGAGGTCCCTCGGGATGTGTTTTATTACTCGGGTTGTCCGGCTGACCAGCGCTGGGACAGTCATCATCCGTTCTGTTTGCTGACGGCGTCCTCTGTTGAACTGCTGGTTAAGAGAATGGCAATGAAGAAAAGAATAACTTTCACTAAATTTCTTTGAACTGGCCTTTAATGACTTTCAAACGCACACAACATTTCCAGTGCTCTAAACAAACTTGGAAATTTGAAACCGGGTGATCTTGTTGTCCAGAATCCGAGAAGATCTGCGCCGCTATCTCATCATAAAGATGAGACGCCCAGGGTGAATGCTGCTGACGCAGGCTGGAAGCGTCAGGAAGGTTATGTCATCCAACCTGGACTGATAACATCGAAGAAACGGGCGACTTTTGTGCTACCCGTAATGTCAATACTTTTTTTCGAAGCCCTGTGCTCAAACGTCTGCGTCGATTCGCAATCTCCGTGTTATGGCGTTCTTGTCAATGAGTGTATAAGCACTGGGGCCACAGCTGAATACAAGTCCTGATCGCCGTGTGCCGAAACACAGTGTCATCCGATATCAAACGTTTAAGCCTTCTCCAGTCCACTTCTCCGGGCCATCACTTTAATTTTATAAAGTCGGATTCCACTCCAGCTTTGAAAATTAAAAGCATCATCTTGTCTGCTTTTTTATTTTCATCTCTTCGCCAATGCCGAGTGATGATAACCAATAGTTCAACGATTGTTAGACGTCAGGAAGGTAATATCATCATAACATAGATGAGCAAGTCGATTTAACAAACATTTATTAACACAATATAATGGATTGTACATTACAGTGAGCGTGTTCTTCAAGATTCTACACAGCACATGAAGACAGGTATATCTTGTTTTGCAACTTCATCTACTCACCATTGCATACAGTGACCATCATATAACGATTTTTAACGGGTGTGTGCTGACCAACACCTTATGAGAGTGATAAACGTTCATCCATTTTGTCCTTGTTTGTCCCATCAACCGGAAATCAGGTCATCAAATGAATTGTGCGGGGCTCAGAATTCACGTAAGCCGTTAGGAACTAGTGAATTAATTCCACTTTGTCGACCTGAAAGTAAGTCATCAAATAAATGTGCAACGCTCAAAATTCACAGAAATATGTTTGAATATAAGATAGTAAGTAAATTCTTAGAAACATTTGAAACCAACCCGTAAACACGAGACCAAAGGCGAACACTAACTCTACGCATTTTGTGATGCAAAATATATCAACCGAAGAGATCAAAACGTACGTGTGAAAGCGCGTACGGCTGTAACAGCGTTTCGGTGCCGGGTT